CATCATCTTCCCAGCTGTGTTTTAAAAATAGGGGAGAGCACATTTGGCGGTAGGTGAGTGTCTGTAAGCTAGACATGGTAGTACAGGCCCCTGTGGATCTGTCTGAATTGCTAACTGTAAGAGGGAAGACAGTGAATTCCTGTTCTTCATCTGTTTTGGAGTGCTCTCCCTTGGTCTCTGCAAGATAAATCTGCTTTAGAGAAGACCAATTCCAAAGAGTGTGCCCATAAAGATAGTCTGTGCTGCTTGACCCCATGGCCAGGGATCTATTTCCAAGCCTTTATATTTAGTACTTTCTATTTAGCAATTGTCCCCAGACGCTGGGAAGTTACTCTGCCTTGTTTTTATATCCCACAGTAATTCAGCAGGAACCCAGGTGGCCAGGATGGCACAGACATGTGTGCATGGACAGAAAAGAAAAAATAAAAATAAAAACCCTGCCAGGGTACTGGAAGAGCTTGTTATTAATATTAGTATTATTGTACTATTACATTACTTTAAGGAAATCTTACAACACATGAACACTGTTAAGTTGCACTTCTATTGTCTGTCTTCTTGCAATAAGTGTTTGGATACAAGTGTATGTCCTTTCTGACAAGTTTATCCCTTCTTAGCTCGCCCTCTTATGCTAAGTCTTTCAGGCACAGGTGTGATGGAGAATCCCATGGGCATCCAAGGGGTGCCCTGGGCTCTTGGACCTGAAGGTCAGTGCCACTGCTGCTTGTAGGCATCCACACTCCTAAAATCTGAAAATCCCGTTTTCTTTTTTTCTTAACCTTTTTTTCTTGTTTAATAATAATTTTTAACTTTTCCCCATTTTTTCTTTTCCTGAGCCCACCATTATGCCATCTGTGTGTTTGTTTTACTCCATTCAGAACAAATAAGCCTACTTCTTCCTTATTGGTCCCAATTTTGTTACAATCATACTCAAAGTTGGTGTTTCTGATGCTGTTACTTAGGGAATTTTGGACCAGCATTATACTACTGATAGCTGTCTAAGTGAGACAGTCTTGTATCCCAATATGGCTTTCTGACCATGCTGGTTGTATTTCATCTACATTAGATGGATTTTTGAACAGAATTATCATGCTTTAGCCTTAATTCTCCTACCTAGTTTTAATTGGGCAGATTCTCATGTAATTGCATACCAGTGCAACAATATAACCTGTTTTATGCCCACATTTTATCTCCACGTTTCAATGGTTTTCATCAAACTCCTTGTTCCCATCAGAAGGAAGATGTTCCCAGCTTCTTCTTACTCAGGGGCATTCAGATTAAGACCCTTAGTGTGGGCTTCATCTCACCTGAAATAGACATCTGCAGTATAGACACATACAGCTAAACTACCTATTCCAGGCTACTTTATAATCTGTGCCAGGAAAACTGACCCTTCTTGGATATGGTTTATCTCAAATGTCCAAAATAGTTCTGATTAAATTCCCTGTGCTGTTCGTAACAGCAGGGCAGATGCTGTGCTGTAGATTTCTATATCAGAGATACCTTAAATTAGATCATCTAAATCCCATTTCTAGAGTCTGCCTAGACTCTGGACTTGTTAATGATTAGCAGAATTTTGGATCACACAAAAATTAGCAAGATCTGGATTTGAGTATTTAGTCAATAGATAACCTCGGATCTGAGAAAGCTGTCATCCTTCCAGTCTAGTCTAGAATGCCATTTTGTTGCAAACACCATTTTCAAAATCTAACTCTGTGCTGGCCACATTAGGAGATCCATCTCCATGTCTTTAGGTTTCTACAGTGTAGGCATCTCTGTTTAAGTTAGTCACCTTTGCACACTATTAAGCTTAACAGAGAGCATTAAGTATTTCCTGGGACTAACACAGTGGTCAGTGTAGATGCCAAAATCAGGATGGGTCAATTTTGTCCTAGAATTGCCTGTTTTTCCCACAGACTAGAAGGGTAGTCCAGGCACCTGTTTCAGATCAAGACGTCAACATCTGGATGTCACCATTGGTGTTATATTCCCAGAAATGTTTTTTTCCTCAAGAAATAAATACTTTAGTGGTATTTTAACACTACATTGTCCATCTCTGTATCTTTAACTGGACTTTTTGAATTCTAATTATTGCTAATTTTGTTCTCATTAGATTTCATGTGAATTGTGTGTGCACACACATCATTTTTTTATCAATTTTACAAGAATCTTTAACAAAATTGTTTATTAACCTTTCAAAAGTTCTAAACTATAATGTTTTATACTGTAAGTTCCCATAATGTCTTATACTGTAACTTCCCCATAATGTCAAATTAAATGATGGTGCAATTATCTGCTGTCAAGAAATTGTAAACATGCATACATGATTAAATGGAAAATGTTACATGTGACTAAAGGCTTCCAGAGTCCTCTCACAGAGGAGTCAAAAAGTGAAGAAGACAAAATCAGAAGACGCTAGAAGGGGAGCCCAAGTATAATCCAGACCAGGCTTATTAACACTCATCTCAAATGTTTTCTTGGTACCTACCTTTGGAGAAGTCTTACTAATTCTCCTTTTCCTTAACTGAGGAATCTATGTGCATAAAAGGACATACAATGAGAAAAGGAAAAGCATCCTAAATTTGTGGAAAGAAAACCAATTGTGTCCCCACATTAGCTGCTGGTGTTGTTACAATATGCAAATTAAAATGTTGGATGATGGCTAGTACACAAACAACAGACCTTGAACTTCTTCCAGGCTAAATTAGTATCAGCAGCCTCTCTTTTTTTTTTTTACAAGTGCACAAATATCTTGCCATAGCTCTGATTCATACTCTATTTTCTCTGTAGCAACAGTTTACCAAATTTAGAGTCACTCGGCTAATTAAGAAAGAAACAAACTTCTTATTGTTCTCTTTATTAGTTTCGCTTTAGGCATAATTGAAAACCCACACGATTAAATTATTTCATCTGTGGTCTGTTACTGTTAGGACAGGACATATTGTTATTTACAGCTCCATCCAGAACAACTCTTTAAAAGTTTATAAGGAATTTCTATTAATGGCTGCGTTCTGTAGTACCTTACTCCTTAGCAAAGACCTTAGTCCTGCAGAGGAAAATGACAGACCTGATCAAGTTGATAGATTTCACAGAATGGTCTTGCTTTAGTATTTTGTCTAAATACTAGCTTAAAAAATACTTGAAGTAGAGTTCATAGAAAGATACAGACTGCTATTATGTCCATGAGATAATTTTCAGAATCAAACATCTAACTTCTAAATAGCTGGGGCATAGGTTCAGTTCTGTGGTCCTGCCATAATATATCAAAAACCCATTGTGCAAACATAATGAATCCAAAGGAGGACTTGGGCAATGTATGTTAGTTACCTGATTCATACCTTTTGTTCCTTCAGCTCACCCAATGAAAAAGTTCCACTCCAAAAATCTCAAAAAAATCACTGAAAAAAATCAACTGCAAAGTCTGGATCAGTGTTTTCAGGTTCCCAACAGTGTAAAGGGAGACCTGGATACCTCAGATGTGATTGCTGAGAGCTAGCCCATGAAGAGTGCTGAACAGGGCAGTGCAGGGTCCTCGCTGCATTTTAGGTCCCTGAGTTGGAGGTGAGGCAGAGGTCAAGCGCTCACTGTTAGAGGGCTAATGCAGTAAGGGGAGGTGATGGCACGACTGCCTGTTCAGACAACAGCAAAGCAGTTCAGAGCCTGCTGCTCTGCTCATACACACTTTGATTTAAAGGCTTTTTTTAAACCCAAGTCCCTCACCTTTCAAGAGGTAACATGCTCAAGCAGGGAGAGGGAAGGAGTCACTGGTCCCTGCCATGGTGCAACAAACGGTTCCCCAGGCTAGGAGTGGAGCAAGCTGAATGGAGCATGACTCTGTACCCTTGTGTTAGGGCACCTTTCTTCTGATTCTTGCTTGTAGCAGTAGTTTTGGTTTTACATCAGGGGTGGTACACATGAAAATCAGCAGCAGTCCTGAGTGAGGAGCTCCAAGACATCCTTCCTGCAGGCTTCACTTCCACTGGATGTCAGTCCTTCTTTCCTTTTCCTGTGCATCTGTTAATTATTTGCAAAACAGGTTCAGAAATAACCTGAAAATGAGGAATCTCCCCTTCTTTCTTCCTCCTTTTTTCAGTTTATTTATTAAGCGTACTCTTTTCAAACCCCCTGAGTTTAGTTGGACCACAGCCCGGCCTTCACTGTGTTCCTTGTTACTCAACTGAGTTACAAAAGCTATACCATAGCATCACAGCAGTTGAGTTACAAAAGCTATAGCATAGCATGCACAGCATCTTCTTTTCTGGTCAGGTTTCTGAACAAAAGTGACAGTGGCTGCTATATATTGTGCTGTTGGTGTGTGTTAGACATATCTTGAGTTTGCCTGTTCAAGACCATCTGAGATTTTATACAGAATGTGGCATATTTTGTATTCATACTCCTGCAGTCCAGGCCAAGGTAGTTCTGGAAATGGCAGTCGCCTATGTAATCTAGGTCTGAAATCTAGGTCAGAGTATTTGGTAGCAAGTTGTAGATGCCTACAGGATATTCAGCTAAGAAAGGGGAGGAGTTTGGCTCATGATTTTGAACTTGATACACAAGACTTCCTTTATGTTCTCCCATACTTTAAAATATAGCAACAATGTAGAGCATGCATAGAAGGATGCACTGCATGGTGACACAGGACTTAGACTGTGTCCCTGAAGAATCCAAGCAGCTGAGCGTCTGTGATAGGGATATCTGTTGCATGTGTCAAAATGAGGTGTGAGACACATAGCTCAACATGAAGCTGCAAAATTTTGAAACTGTGGAGGGAAATTAATATAGTAACATTATATTTCTTGATAATGATCTCCAAAAACTGGAAAGACACTCAGTGCTGCTTCCAAGCATGACTTAAAGATGTTTCACCTGGAAGTCTTTGACCTGATCCAAGTCTTTGCTTGAGAAAATTCCCAGGGAGTTTGGGAATCAGCGCTTACTGAGTTGTGCCAGATATTGTAATTGATATCATTTAACTTTCTTTTTATGTATCTTCTGGTTTGCAGGGTGGAAAGACTTACACAGGACCATGTGGAGGAAGAGACTGCAGTGGAGGATGTCAGTGTTTCCCTGAAAAGGGAGGCCGTGTAAGTAACATTTTTTCCTTTTCAAATGATCTTCATAGTACCAGTTCAGTACCATTTGCGGCTTGTGTCAGAGATAGGGAATATTAAAATAATTATTCTCTTTTAGGAAAAAAGTTCTGCTATTTCATCTTACTCTTGTGTATTTGCAGAAGCAGATTGACGATTAAAGCACTTTTTGATTTGAATAAATACTTTGTTGCAAAGTGTAGAAAATTTTTCTTTCGAAGTTTCCAGCCAAGGAAGCTCAGCCATAACGAGCAGATTAGACCAGAATTCTAGCAACAAGCATCCTGCCATATTATATGCTAGAGCATGCCTGGATGTGTGACAATGATAAATAAATACAAACAGAATCGCTCAGTAACCTTCCTGAAATATTTCTAAAGAAATAGTATCCAATAAAAGATATCTGATACTTGTGATATGCATTAAAGCAAGCGGGAACCAGGCCTACAAACCTTGAAATCCCCACTGGCAGGGAAACACTTGTGACTTTGTGGTGTTAGGTTCTTGCTGTTGCTGTTACTCTTTTTTTTTCAGTTTTGGGGAATAGTGGGAGATGAGGCAGAGGAAGGGAGGTGGAGTGGAAGGGATTAGCCACCTGCCATGAAGAGCTCCCAGCAGTAGGCCAGTCCCTATGCTATATGGTTTAAAGCTGGCAGGCTCCTTCTGTACCATTTGGGCTTCTGCAGCTGAGACGATGATTCAGCCTTTCCCATCCACCCATCTAAGAATAAGTCAGGAGAGAGATGCAGCAGGTCATATGCTCTTTCTGCTATCACAGCCCTCGTAAGCTTGTTTAGTTCTCTGCCTTCCTTGCACACTGTGCACTGCCAGGTCCGGTTCCCCTCACATTCCTCAAGCTTGACTCCACGTCTGAGTGGAAGAAGAGGTGGAAGGACAGGCACAGTGTAGGTGGGAGGCAGGGAACACTCTTGTTTACAGCATAAATCTTGAGGTCTCTGTGGAAGTCAGATGATCCCTGGGCTGCCATGCCATGAGCACTGTAATGGTTATATACTCCCATCCCCTGACCACGATCTGCTCGTAGTCTGGTTTTCATTACGATAGCTTAATGGCAAACCACTGAAAATAAGACAAACAAACCCTCCGCTGAGACTCAGTTTCCAGTTGGTCTCTCTCCTGCTGCTATTGCCTTACCATAGCCATTTAACACATTAAGATTAGCAAGTGTCTCCTGCCACATCTCTCCAAGGGCACTGAAAGACAAAAAAAAAATGTTGCTATATGAAATGAGTTGAAGTCTGGTATTGGTAATGTCTTTTTTCGGGGTCTTTTTTGTTGATGTTTTTCTAAGAGCAAGGCGTGGATATACTTGTTCTACTCTACAGTTGGTGAAAGGAGGTCTGTTGAAACACTACCAATTTCGTAACTAAAGTATTTTTTATTTTCCTTAATGGCTGAATGAGCTTTATTTAACAAGTTGCTAAGTATGCAAGAGAGGAGGCAGCCAAACAAAAGTAAAGGCGTAGGTTAGAAAAGCTGAAAATGTTAAATTATCTAAGTAGAGAATCAGTCTGGTGTCAGTGTACAGAAACACCCTTTGATTTGCTTAGAATCTGGATTAGGAGGAAATGGCAGGTTTTATGTGCTCACTCTCCATTTCACTGACGTCAGAGAAGCAAAGTAACTTCAGTAACTAATCTCACTGGGCTCCCATTAAGTATGCACCAAAAAAGAGAAAAGGAGGATGTTACAAAATATATACAAAATAGAATTTATATTTTGCTATTTGTGGTTTACTTATGCAGAATTCAAAGGAGCACTGGAGAAAGTGATTTGAAGTATAACACTTCAAAAATCACATTTTAATTCTATGAAGTTACATACCTCACTCTGACTCAGCATACACTGCCTATATTTTGTGTCTGCTGGTCTCTTCAGATGTCACAACCTCGGTTAAACAGCTGGTTTTAGGAACAAGATTGGCCTTTAGGGACTAGTTAAATTTGGCCTAGCTTCTGATCTCATGCTAATGCTCAATGGGAATATTTATTTTCACAAAACCTCAGTATAATCTGGCACGACACATATTTGCTGTGTTGAGGTGACTCATTACGCGAACAAAAGACATACTGCATGTTTACGCCTGTAAGAATGCCTGAAGAAGGTTGCGAGAGCCGACGTGCTCGGTGACTCTACGTGACAGATAGAGCAGACCTGTCACTTACGGGACATCTGGAATTGAGGTAGTAGTTCTGTGGAAGTCTGCAGCCACTTAGCAGCCCTACCGCTCTATGAAAATTTACATTCTTCTTATAACAGATCTCTCAAAACCAGACAAACAAAAGCCCTTTTTTGGGTTGCTGCAAATGAATGCGTATCTGAAACTGTTGACTGATCTAAGTGCAGTGGAGTATTAAACCATACTGAAAATTATTATAGTAGCAAACATCTGAAAAAAATGCTGTTTGTTACTTATATGTATTTCTACTTCATTTTCTGCTATTGCCTCAGTTCCGTTCTTAAGATACGGCACTTAGATAAAGTTGCTTTATTTACTTTCTTCATCCAATGGCATTTGTTTAAATAAAGTGTTCTTTACAAAAATTTCCCTTTGACATCATCTGGGGACTCCATGCTAGGGGCACTGTCGGTCTACATCCATGAGAATTCAGCTAGACTTTGGTCATTTGTGCCAGGTCTCCAGCTGTACGACAGCTGCAAATCCTGTGGTTCTTTTGGTTTAAGACGGATAAAGTGAGGCACGTACGCACAGAAAGGTTGAATTGTTTTTCGTATAAATGGTTTTTAGGGACAGAAGAGCACCTCGCACAAATTAGTGCGTGCACCCATCAGGCCTGCCACAAAGGATTGTGGTGTCACTTGATGGTTCTTTCGTTTTTTCCTCCCCTTTTTTGGCTGGACTTGCTCAGGAAGCTGCCCAGGGCTTCAGCAGAGCTAGATGGAAGCCAGTGGGGACACGGAGAGGAGCAGCTTTGTGTGCAGCTGCAGCAAGTAGGATCCAGCAGCCAACCTCTTAGCTGCTCCATCACATCGGGGCTGCTCCTAAGCTCTGAAGGCACCTGGCAACAGCATCATCTGCCTCATTTCCATGGAGAAATTAGGTCTGATTCTAACATTCAGTAAATCACAGGAAATTGTTAATAACTACATTTGGTAATTCACAACAACTGTCCAGCCAGTGCTTGGAGGAGTTTCTCCACAGGAATGTCTTTCGAAGGCCACACACCATCCTCTCGAAGTTACCACCTCCTCTGCTGATTTTAAGTTTATACTTTGGAGCAAAGAATAAAGTGAACCTCTTTCCATGAGCCATGTCCTTTCAAATTTTGCATGACACTGTAGTCTCTGTTCCTTTCAACTGCAGGGAAGCTATCTAACTTAAAACCTGTATGCATATTTACTGTTAGCTGGATACTAACAACCAGTCTTTAAAGGCCTAAACATTCCTTGTGACTAATCAGGTGCTTCCCCCTGGAGCTACCTGTGCCAGACTCAGGGAACAGCTTCATGATTATCTGACCATGTTCACCGCTGGCCAAAAGCTCATCCTAAGAAGCACTAAGGTGCCTGAAAAACAGGAAAAGGAAATGAGCGAAGCGCTGACATTGTATTAATATCATATTTTGAATAAAATTGAGGCTTGCAACTAAGGGAAAAATAAAGAAAAACTTCCATTTTCTTTTTTTTTTCCATTGATTTTTATCACAATTCTTAGAATTTAAAATTTAAAGCTCTTTGCGAACCATATGTTGGGCAGAGTAGATTATATATACCTCTATGGTTCGTTCCCTTATGTAGGAAATCATATGATAAACCCTTTCAGTACAATAACCAACTGTTTGGTCTATTGAAGTTTTACCTCAATTCATAATGAACCTAGAAGGTGTTGTGGAAAATGAAAGTGAATAGAAATCTTTTTGATCTCTGTGGAGTGAGAAAATGCATTCTGTTGAAATCTCACTTTGTAGTTTCTGTCTGAGTCAAGCATCCAACAGTCCTTGAACCATTTAGCTATTGTTTTTGTAAGGGTCTGGAATAATAGAAACTGAAATGAAAAGATAGTTTCATGTCCTCATAAAGGGGGGATATGAACTATTTTCTTCACTAAAATTTAGTTACAGAAAATTTATATTGCCTTCACTAGTGCAATAGCCAGGAGTAAGTTATTAGCAGTTCACCTACAATCATTTCCCTTTGCTTCTGGGTGCTATGCTATAATGATTCTTAGAATTTAAAATTTAAAGCTCTTTGCGAACCATATGTTGGGCAGAGTAGATTATATATACCTCTATGGTTCGTTAAAACATTAATGCCCTTATGTAGGAAATCATATGATAAACCCTTTCAGTACAATAACCAACTGTTTGGTCTATTGAAGTTTTACCTCAATTCATAATGAACCTAGAAGGTGTTGTGGAAAATGAAAGTGAATAGAAATCTTTTTGATCTCTGTGGAGTGAGAAAATGCATTCTGTTGAAATCTCACTTTGTAGTTTCTGTCTGAGTCAAGCATCCAACAGTCCTTGAACCATTTAGCTATTGTTTTTGTAAGGGTCTGGAATAATAGAAACTGAAATGAAAAGATAGTTTCATGTCCTCATAAAGGGGGGATATGAACTATTTTCTTCACTAAAATTTAGTTACAGAAAATTTATATTGCCTTCACTAGTGCAATAGCCAGGAGTAAGTTATTAGCAGTTCACCTACAATCATTTCCCTTTGCTTCTGGGTGCTATGCTATAATGAAATCTAGTGTCTGAACTTATAAATGCTTTGTGTACAAATATAGGTCTTAATGCATGGACTGCATCTTGCAGAGGTTTTTTTCTATAGTTTCTCTATTTTGATATAAGAGAAGTTAGTATTATCTACAGACATGGAGATTTGACTGTTCAGTTCTTTCTTTAGGTCACTGATGGAAATCTTCATTGAAGTCATTTACAGCACCCATATCTGAGATGCTCCATTGGTCCACTGGTGTTGTGTCTCCATTGTGAAAAGTGACCATCAAG